ATCAAGTATCAAAGATCACAATTCATCAAGACATGTCAAAATATGAAACTTTTTCATCAAGAAATCAAGTGTTGGAAATTCACATTTTTTTCATAACTTTGAGCCAATTTTCCACCATGATGCAAGGCAAGATGAATCAAAGGAAACTTCCAACATGAAATTTTTAGATATCAATGATATATAAAACATTGTAGAATACAAATTTTTCTAGAAATGCATGGTTTTCAAGTTATGATTTTAAGAAGACATGTTCCTGAAACTTGAAAACTTAGTGGAATTTTGCCATAGTTTAGGCAGGATTTTGACCTAACTTCATGGAAAATTTTCATATAGTTCCAAGATGAATCTTCAAAAATATACAACATAGAGGTTGTAGAGGATGTTACAATATTTTCAAAATGTCCAAGAACTCATTGATATCATGTTTGTGCTAAGATAAACGAAGCCATGAAGTTAGGGTTTCATTCTTGTTTTGCAAGGAAAATTTGTGAAGAACACTTGATCCAATCTTCAAGTATGTTATACAAATCTCACTTTGCTGGCTTCTAACTTGCCTTTCACTCCATAATTAAATGTTTACACAATTGTTAGAGCTTTGATCCAAGCATTTGAGGCATTGCCCAAATGGTTATTCCATTAATGGCACAAAGGTAACACTTCCATTTCGGAAAAGCAAGCTTTATTGCAAAAGTAAATGCATAGAGTTCCCAACTTGTTTCATCTGAGTACAAGCAATGTCAAAGACAAAAGCAACATGTCTAGAGTCTCCCATAAACCCAGGCCATGCTTGTACTATGCCTTGAAACCATGTTTTCCACTTTTCTTCAAAATCAAGTAACATAGCCATAACTCTATATCTCACAGATTTGTCAACCTCAAGTGCTCTAACCTTTTTCTTATAATTATACAACTCTATTCCAAGAGGATATATGAAGGAAGAAGCTCTCAAACTCTCACAAACTCAGAACTGCATAACAAACCTCCATTGTTGCATATTCTGACCAAAAACTCCAAACTCGGAATCCACTCGTGTGTTTCTTGGCTTTTCACTTCCAGAAGTTCCTAAACATCATCTACAAACAATCCATCACCCTGTTACACGACTGTAACATCATCTTCATTAACTTCCATAACCAAAAAACAGAGCCTGCACCTTGACTTCTCTAGCATGATTAAACACTCTCAGCATCAAGTAAGCATTTCATTAGCTTCCTGGGAACTTGAGGAACCTAACATGATCATCACAACTCCTTGAAAGCAGCTCAAAATCATTTCACAATTTCCAGTTTTGAGGTGCATTTTCTGAACTTTTATCTTCTCATTTAAGTATTGTTAGGCTTGTATTTGTGAAGATAAAATATATACATCATTGCCCTGAAACTGTACATGTCCATAGATTTCATTTATATTGATTGAGCTTAGAGAATTTTAGGTTTGAATCTCTGAAAAAAGTTAGGTCAAAATTTGGTGCTTTTGGAAATTCTCATTCATCTTTGATTTATAGCTTATGATATTTATATAGTTAGATTCGTATGAAAAAATGGAGCAACTTTCATGTTTGCATATTTCATTTTTGTTGAGAAATGGTGAAGTTACAGATGCTCAGGCTGGAGGTTGAAGATGAAGTCACATTTAGGACATGACTTATGCTATGTATTTATTATTTCATCAATGTTACCAGATGTACAACCACCCTAGTGGCAAAGGTAGCGCGCGTGTATGTTAGAGGTCATGGGTTCAAGTTCCAGCGCTACCTTTTGTATATTTTTCCTTTTTTTTTTGTTTCAAACAGCAGCGCATGGGCCTAAGTCAATGGGCTTTGTTTTTTTTGCTGACTTCTAACCCCCTGGTACTTTTGCATGCTAGCCTAATTTCTTTTTATTATTTCATTTACTTTTATTTTATTTTTCTTATTTTTATTTTATTTTATTTTTCTTATTTATTATTATTATTATTATTATTATTATTATTATTATTATTATTTATTTTTATTAATAAAAAATCCAAAAATATTTTATTTATTTATTTACATATTTAAAAATACTCATTTATATTTTATTTTCTTTATAAAACAAAAAGAACAAAAATATTTTCTTAACGATTTAATTTCTTTTTTTTAATTAATAATTAGATTTAGGTTTTATTTTTTTCCCTTTGTTATTTAAAATTAATTTAGCGTTTAGGTTTTTTTAATTAATTAATTCCCAATATTATTATTATTAACTTAAAACCTTTTCATAAAAAACCCTAAAAATGTTTTAACTTATTTTCTTTCCTTAAGTAATTTAGGTTTAATTTTATTTAATTTTATTAATTAAGTCAAAACTAAACCCTTTCATGAAAACCAAGTAAAAATCATTTCTTTTTCCATTTATATTCTTGCATTATATTTTCAATTCTTGTACAATATTCAATATGGTTGTAATAGATAATTAGGTTTAATTTTATTACAATCCCTATTTGTAAATTTGTATACCCCCTCCCCTAAGGATGTAATAGCATAGTAATTTTATTTTCCGCAATTTATCGCCTTAATATAAATACTAGTAAATAGGGTTTGTATGGTAAGACTAAAATCAATAAGTAGTAAATCCTAATTCAAGATAAACAATGCATGTAAATCAAACACATTTGTACACTTACACCCTTAGGGTAATTCCACTTTGTTGCCTTTCAAAAATGGCCATGTTATGCATGTGAGATGTCTTAACAAAAAGCAATCAAAAATATAAGATCATAGTCCCTCGATGACGCTATCAATGTTGCCTTTCAAAATGATCTTAGTCCCTCAAAGAGAAATACAAGAAAATTAGTGTTTAACGACACAAAAATTGCGACAGTTATGTGATAACTGTCGTAATTGACATATAGAGACAGTGTTTACGACAGTTGACACCAACCGTCCCTAATATTTATTTTGCGATGGTATAATTAACCATCATAATATTATTATTACGACAGTAAAACAACCGTCGGCCCCTATTTAACACTTTTAACATTGATTTTTTACCAACAACTAGTCACGACGGTAAAATTAACCGTCCTAAAAGGCATATCACGACGGTAAAGCACCCTTCGCACCCTTAAACCTTTCACGAAGGTAAAATTATCCGTCCTAAAATTCATTTCACGACGGTAAAACAACCGTCGCACCCAAAACCTTTAAAAATTCTCATGGGCACGACGGTAAAACACCCGTCGCCGTAAAAAAGTTAAAAAGCTCTTAAAATACCTAAAACATCAATTCACTTTCTACTCCTGCGTTCACTTTTTCTACTCACGGTGCCGTTCATGCCATTCTTCTTCACACCGAAAGAAACCCCTTGACACCGAAAGGAATCTCTTCAAACCGCTCATCTTTACACCAAAAAACGCACAGCAAGCAGTTTAACATCCTCTGCGTTCATCTCTTCAAACACAGTAAGTTTTATGTATCACTTTTTGCATTGTTCTCATCTCTCTCATTCTCTGCCATTGATTTCAGCATTGGAGATTCACTTGAATCTTATGGTTGAGCTCTTTGTGATGATTGATTTTGAGTTTGAATATATTGAATTGATGTTAGGTTTTCAAAATCTCCTTTTCTGCTACTAATCGTTCCGCAAGGGTCTTCATCGCACAAGATTCAATCTCATCAAGATTGGAATCAACAAGTCACAAACTCGTCATCACAAAGGAGGTAATGAAATCTCATATTTTGATTCTTTCACTCTCAAATGAAAATAATTTTGGGTATTTGAATCACCACTATGACTTCATCACCGTGTTTGATCCCGGGGGTGTTTTGATGTTTCTCACTAATATGCAAGTTAAAGTCTTCGATCATCCTACTGTTTAGATCACAATTTTTGATCCCGTCGGAGCTTTGACATTAGATGATGGAGCTTTAGATCAGTGATGGCGATGGTGTTATTGTAGAGGCTAACGGTGGTGTCTTTTTCCATTAGTGTCAAGGTGTTTGTGAAAATGCGTAGTTGAATATTGGAGTCCAGTAGCACGTTGACGCTGGTGTCTTTTGCCATTGGTGTCAAGGTGTTTGTTAAAATTCCTAGTTGAAGATTGGAGTCCCGTAACATCAGTATGTTCAAGAAGGGAATGAGTAGAGAGGATGTTATTGTAAGGATCAACAACAGAGGTTGAAACTTGAGGGGAAAGATAAAAAATGAATCTAGGCTTGGATTTCTCGCCATAATCGACTAAAAGATGTTTCGGCAGAAGGGAACCAAGACCAAAACCAGTGCCTCCGCCTACAATATTGAAAACCAGAAAGCCTTGGAGACCAGTATAATTATTTACAAACTTTCTGATACGGCCCAAGCATACATTGACAGTTTCTTTTCCAATGGTATTGTGTCCACGAGCAAAGTTGTTAGTTGCATCCTCTTTTCCGTTAATGAGTTGTTCAGGATGAAGTAGTTGGTGGTTTCTAGTCGACGTTCATGCATGAACAAGATTATTGCTTAGAAATTTCAATTTCAATTCAAGTTTTCTGTCATGGATTTAATTAGTGTGGTACATCAAGAAATTCATGTGCAACAATATTACATGTTTAATGAACAAAGCTCTTCGACATTTCTACATATTGGGTTATCCCTGCCATGGTTATGTTTTTGGAGCATCACAATATAGCGGGGAAGCCTTTCATGGTGAAACAATATTGTGAGGGTGAAAAGCAGAAGATTTAAAGCACCTTTATTGTACTGATTTTTTGTATGTTTCCAGGTCCATTGTGTATTTTAGTGATTGCTTCATGTAATTCAAGTTGGTTGTGATTCACATCCCTACCAGCTTGAGGGAGGCTGTTAAAATAGTCCTTTTAGATAGTTAGTTAGGAATTAGCTAATTGTTAGTTACTCAATTAGGTACACAATTGAGTATATAAATTAGGTCACAATGTACACATTTCATTATCTTTTCAATAAACTTTTCATTATGTTACCAAATGAGTATTCATATGCTCTCTATATCTCATGTGAGTATGACCTCTATCCCTATCATCCATGGATTCTCAACATTCATTCACACCATTGCCGGATTATCCATTCAAGCCACCAAAGGTAATTGAACCGTTACTTGTTTCTACGTTAGTTGCTTGTTTGTTTTGTCTGTTTTTATGATGTTTATAATTTATTGTGATTTGTTCATTTGTTTGTTTTTTAAATGCTTCAAGGCAGATCTTGTCTATATGTACTCTGTAGCATGATTGTTTCTTTTTTGTACGATTTGTTAATCCGACCATGACCATTTTTCTTGTTGTTTCTAGTGAGTGTGTTATTTTTGAATAAATGCAAACACCAGGTTAAAGGAAGCCAAGCTTGTATTGCACATTAAATATGAATAGATATATTGCATATTTGCTCCCCTAAGAATATCGATTAGACTCCGCAATTCAAAATAAGTTTGCACCTTCACATTTTGGGCTTGTGCTGCTTGTGCCTCTTGCCCTCGAACACGCTTTTATATTTGTCTTTTGTTGTAGCATATGGATATTTACTAGCTTTTGCTGTATTGGAAGGTAGAAAACATCACATGGTTATTAGTTCTGGTTGGTTATAAATCTGATTATTTGTCACTAATTCACAAACTTCTATTGGCGTTGGAAAAACTAACAGAGAAGTTGTTAGATGACTTTTCATTTCAATTATATTTTGCCTTTCATTTTCTTCTTTCCTCATCAAATCGTATTGTTCTCTTTCATTTTCTTCTTTCCTCAACAGTTGACAGTTAGTTATCCAGTTTAATTTGTTCACAAGTTATAAATGTTGTTTTATTGCCTGTTAATCAATTTTGTAAATATCTTGTACCATGTATTTAGTTAAATAGTCTAAACATGCTAAAGTTATTTTAATACTGCAGGTTGCATTTAGGACTAAGGTATTCCACCCAAACATCAACAGCAATGGAAGCATCTGTCTTGACATTCTAAAAGAACAATGGAGCCCAGCATTGGCCATTTCTAAGGTTTGATTTTACTTGTTATTCTTGATAATTGATGATTATGTATCAAGTTTTAGCTAAATGTGACACCTGGATTGTGTTGTGTTGCCTTTTAGAATGATTTGCAAATGTGAAAAATATTGGACAAATGTGTTGTCACGTTTTGAGCTAATTTACTTGCATTTGCCAATATTGGACAAATACAAATTCTGACTATTAAATGTGTTCGCCTACTGAAATTTAGAATCACAAACTTTGCTAATTGTTTGGAAATTCAATTGAAGCATACCGTTTTATCAAGGAATGAGGCTTATTTTCACATATAAAATTTGTCTATCCATGACTTTTTGTACTCTTATCATTTCTATTGTTACTTACTGCTGTAATCTCATTGATGTTTTTATGTGTTTCATACTACTTGTGCTGGTTTTAAATTTTTTTTGGGAAATTTGAAAATCTAGAACAAAAAAATGATATTTTTAAAACACAAGAATTGTAATTCTTTTTAGAAGATTTTTTTCGTAAGAGAAAAATTAGGTCACTAATATTTCAAGTGCAGAAGTGGCTAATATAAATATCTATTCATTCTGTTGACTAGAGATATAGTTTGTCATATTCATATAAGCTGATTATACGATTCATAGAAATTTACTGCTGGAAATTGAATGTGTTATTTTTCTCCTTTTTTAATGAGCTTCGTTTGGAATGATGATGTTGTCTGCTGTTGATCTAAATCTCACAAAAAATAAACCTAACATTCACTATTTTAGGTCCTTTTGTCAATTTGCTCGTTGCTGACGGATCCAAATCCCGACGACCCTAAACCCTAAACCCTAAACCCTAAAAGGGACAAGGCGAGGACAAAGGAAATTGAACTCTTAATGCAAATGCAGAATTTTAGTGGAAGACAGGTATATTATTTTGACGCATTTAAAGTTAAATTTTATGAGTATTATTTTAAAGATTATTATTTTAATACCTTTTTTTAGGGATTGGAATCACCCGCTGATGGTAGACGTTCATCTGAGTCTAGCTACCGTATTGGAGATAATGGAACTTCAGGGGGGACAAATTAGACTTTGCTATGATCGAGATAATTAGATTGTGAACTTTCTCATGTATTTTTGGCATAATGATACTTATTATTATAAGAATAGGAATTGATATATTTTGGGTTTTTTGTACTACTTGACATGATTATGGAACTCGCATTTTACATGATTATGGAACACACATTTTTTTGGATATTATAATGCTTATTTGATGTTAAATATTTTTTATTGAAATTATTTTTACTATATTACAAAGTGATAGAAAATAAAACAAAAAATAATACTATAAATAAATATATTAAAGAAGAAATAATTTAAAGAAAAAAATAACAAAAAAAAAACTATATTTAAAATTTTTTACATAGATAATAATTTAAATAAAAAATATATATAATAGAAAAATAAAAAAAAATCAAGACATAAACAAAAGTCATGGCGACAGTACCGAACCGTCGTAATCAACAATTAAAAATAATCAACAAAAGTCATGACAGTATCGAACCGTCGCCATAAACAATTTAATCAATTTCAAAAGATATTCACGACAGTATCGAACCGTCGCCATCAATAATTAGAAGAAAATCAAAAGATAGTCACGAAGGTATCAAACAGTCACCAATACTTGATTATGTCAGCTCCAAACCCGTCGTAAACTTGAACGACAGTTTTTGTAACCGTCGCGAAATAGGTTGGGGACACACACTTCTGCGACGGTAAAGCAACCGTCGTGGAAAGCAAATTGCGACGGTTTTAACCGTCGTAATCTACAAAAAATACCTGTCACAATCTGCCAATTTTCTTGTACATCTTACAACGTTGCTATCATGACTATACGATGACCCACGCCCGTCCCTTTACATACAAAAGATAAGGCTTCTTACCAATCAATGGTAAGATGGAAATATTAAAGGAAAGGAAGAAATGAACAAAGACTTTTGAGTAGGTAGATTGTTCCTAGTTGCTTGCTCACTTTCAAATCAAAAATCCTTGCTTATTTTCAAAACAAACACCAAACACTTTCAAAAAACACTTTCAAAACATTTTCCAAACATGAAACATTTTCAAAAGTCCAACACTTTGTATACGTTCTTACGAACGAGAACCATTACAAAGTTTGCCTAAACGAAGGCGTCTTTTCAAAATACTTTCAAAAACCACCACAAAGCAGATTTTCAAACAAAAGCAAGTGATCTAGCAAGCAACTAAGAGCCCATAGATAACTATGGATGAAAAGGGTGCTAATACCTTCCCTTTTCATAATCTACCCCCCGAACTCAAGAAACAATCTCAAAGGTCTTTCCTGTTCTTTTCAGCCTTTCCTTTTTGGATAAAAGAAAAGTCAGTGGCGACTCTTGCTAACCGCAACATTTGCGATAAAATGCAAAACACCTAAGTCAGTTCTCCCACCGTATCACAGAAATGGCGACTCTGCTGGGGAGAAACTTAAAAATGGGGTTACCTTAGGGCTAGATCACCTTTATTTGCTTTCATTGTTTGACTTGCTTGCTTTGCATTTTGGTTCCTTGTTTGGGCTTGTTTAAATCCTCTACCCGGATTTGGGATACCTTATAGGTAAGTAGAAATACATTGTGGAAACTGTGCGGGGTATACTAACATGGTATAAGAAATAACTACGTTAGTGTGACACATTTGTGGGTATCGGTAGCCATTGATTAGTCAAGGAGAATACGGGGCCGCTGTGTGGTGTCATGAAGCACTAACTGACTTTTAGAACTTTTACTTGACCAACTTGGCCATTAGGACGTAGTGAGATAACCGACTTTGGTGCAGTCCGAAGTTGGTTGATACTCGATACTACACTCATTGAGGTTTGACTTCTCGGGATATTTCGGTCGCCGTGAAAGAGGCCTGCACTGAAACAATGCCCGATAAGACAGATCAGTGATATTGAGATCCCTTAGAACCCGGTTACTCTTTCTAGGACAGGTTTGAGCCAACTAAATTTCAAGAGGGTACTTACCTATGAGACTCCATGCAAGCCTAAACCTAAGGACTTGTTTGCCTTGTTTGTATATACTTACTTGTACATGAAATCATAAACATCATAACATCATACTCATTCTCACTAACCATTTCAAGGATTATTGGGGTTTATCTTTGTTCTGTTTTGTAGGACATGGCTTCTATCCACGGGAATACTATCCAAGTCAATATCGTAAGAATTCCTCCTCAACTCAAAGAGTTAGCATCAAGGGTTCCTGAGAATTCCCCATTCATCAAAAGACATGGTCGCCTCCTAAGCTTGGTTACCTCCAACACTGATGAAGATATGATGAAGGTACTTTTCCAATTCTTTAATCCTCTACACTATTGCTTCACTTTCCCCGATTATCAACTTGTACTAACTTTGGAAGAATTCTCTTAACTCTTGAGTATTCCCATTCTCAATCAACTACCCTTTAACGGTACGGAAATAGATCAAAAACCTAAAGAGATTGCCCAAGCATTACACTTGAAACAATCTGATATCACAACTAATTGGGAAACAAGGAGTGGTGTCAAAGGTTTCTTAGCCAAGTTCTTGTTTGAGAAAGCTCAAGATTGTTGGAACTCTTTGGACTTACAAGCTTTTGAAGAAATCTTGGCCCTTCTCATCTATGGGATGGTTTTGTTTCCAAACCCTGTCCAACTTATAGATGTAAATGCTGTCAAAATCTTCATGTCTCATAATCCGGTGCCTACCTTGTTGGAAGATATCCTGCATTCTTTTCACCCTCGCAATATGAGGAAGAGAGGGATCCTCATGTGTTGCACTCCTCTCTTGGCTAGACAGTTTATATCACATCTTCCGCGGTCTGTGTTGAAGAACGAGTAGGGTTTGAGGTGGTCCATAGGTTGATGACGCTCAGACATTCAGATGTTCATTAGTGTTCTCGTTCCTTGGAGAATGTTACTATCGTCGACCGTTATGGGGAATTCCCTAATGTCCCTTTTCTTGGAATTAGAGGAGGTATCACTTACAACCCTTGTTTAGCCTTACGACAGTTTGTTATGCCCGGAGGGATGGTCCTCATGAGATGCTCATCCAAGGAGTGGTATTCGACTACGAGAGCGACGACCAAAGCTACCGTCATAGGTTTATACGAGCTTGGAGGATGGTAAGCTAAGTGGACAGTAAGACATTGGGACACAAGAATTCCATTCCCCTTAAGCCTTACGTTAGGTGGGTACGAGCTCGTGCTCAGAACCTTGTGATGCCTTATCCCTCCATCTTACCAGTTATCATGGAACATGTGGTTGAAGGAGATGTCCCGTACACTATCCTCCATCCTGACATGCCTACTTCGCTTGAAGACTTACAAAAAGGTTGGATTTAGCTAAAGGAAGAACGAGATACTTTCAAAGCTCAATTCTACGCTAGTGAGAAGAGATTCTTGGAGCTTACAAAGCAGCTACATGAAGAGCAAAGCGTGAACGCCTACATTGCGCCGAAGAGGATGTACTCAATCTTTTTATCTTAGAAAGTTATTTTGTAAGCCTAAGAGGCATGATGTATTCATTTTGAACTAATTAATGAAAATTGACGTTTGTTCATTCTTTTGTCTATACAAATTTAAATTTCATAAATCCTTGAAATCATTTGCATATACATCTTCCATGCATCATAACATGACAGGTTTTCACATAACAAGTTTCCTTATCTTTCTGCTGTTTATTTCAGCAAGATAGATCTAGAGAAAACTGTGAAGGATGTTCAGGCACAAAACTCTCAATTCTAAGAGACTCTACTGGCCCTAGCCAAGGGGCAACAAGATATGATGGCATTTCTGGCAGTCAAGAAGAAACCCAAGAAGAAATCCCTGGTCAACATGGGTAGAAGGTTCAAAGAGTCGGTTCATCAGATCCCGGTGGTGGAAGACTCATCTGAAGAAGACAAGAATCAGATTGGTGAGGTTAAGAGTACCCAAGCTGACTGTATTAATGATCAAGCATCTGATGATGATTATTTTGATGAGCAGTATCCACCCGCTGATGTCAAGTATAAGCAGTTAGAAGACAGATTGAAGGTCGTCGAGATCCAAACCTTCCCCGGTTTAGATTTTGATGATTTGGGTTTGATCTATGGGGTTGTTGTTCCCCACAAATTCAAAATACCAGTCTTTGCAAAGTACGATGGGGTTTCCTGTCCAAAACTTCACCTGGAATCTTATGTGCGCAAGATACAACCGCACACCGCTGATAAGAAACTCTGGGTTCACTTTTTTCTAGAGAGCTTGACCGGAACTCAACTAGAATTGTTCTACCAGTTGGATGGTTCTCGTATCAATACTTTGGAGGACTTAGCTACCGCCTTCTACCATCAGTACCAGTATAACACCGACTTGGCACCGACAAGAGTATAGTTGCAAGATATGACACTGAGGAAGAATGAAGGATTCAAAGAATATGCACAAAAGTGGAGAGACCTTTCCAGTAGGGTTCAACCACCTTTGACTGATAGGGAGCACATTGACATGTTTATGAGCACTTTATCTAGTCCATTCTTTAATTTATTGGTTGGCTGCTCTTCTTCTGGTTTCACCGAGCTAATCTTAACCAGTGAAAGAGTTGAAAGCGGCATCAAAAGCGGAAAGATTCCTATGGCATCTTCCTCCACTTCAAATCCTATAAAGAAACCTTTTGCTGCAAAGAAGGAAATTAATGTTGTGTATGAGGCAAGGGCCCGTACCAAGAGGAATGATCATCCGTCTATTAATGCGGTCCTAATCTCCAATCTAACTCCTGCTCAAAGACCATCTGCTAATCACCAACAGTTT